GCCCCCCCTGTTCCCCGCAGCCATGGCTCCGGTGACACCCCATTGCCCCGGTGACACCCCTGCTGCCAGCAGCCATTGCTCTGGTGACACCCCATTGCTCCGGTGACACCCCCGCTGCCAGCAGCCATTGCTCCAGTGACACCCCATTGCTCCGGTGACACCCTCGCTGCCAGCAGCCATTGCTCCGGTGACACCCCTGCTTTCCTCCCTTGTGCTGCTTCTGCCGAGGACAAGGACAGAGCATGAAGATGCCACATGGGCTCTCATCTCTGCTTCCCACGCTGCAGCCCAGGATGGAGCACTCTGGCACCTCCAAATGCTCCGGGTGCTGTGTCTCCCTGGGGACATTGCCAGGCATGCTGTCCCTGGCTCACCGGAGACCTTCTCCAGCTCCTTGGAAAGCTCCCCGGGGCTCCCTGGACATGGCACGAGCCTGTCCTGGGGCTGCTGGCCGGGGGAGGGTTGTCCACCCCAAAGCCGGCTGCTCCATGCCAGGGGGCTGTGGGCGCAGCATCACCCCGTGGGGCAGCACGCTCCCTCCTCCCTGACAGAGAGGTTGCACAGGGGGAGAATCAGAATCCCAGACTGGTTTGGGTTGGAAGGGACCTTAAAGCCCATCCAGTTCCCCCCCCACCATGGGCAGGGACACCTCCCACTAGCCCAGGTGCAGGTGTCGGTGTTTCCAACAGCGTCGTCAGTGACAGTGGGCTGCCCTTCCTAGAGGAGGCAGCTTGGCGGCTGCGTTTTTACGGGCATTTATTTCCTTCTGTGGCTGCTACCAGGGTGCTGGCCAGCCCTGGCTGGGCTCTGCTGCCCAGAGGACTTCCAGGAGTGTTCTTGTGCCACAGCACGTCACCAGTGCCCAGTGCTGCAGCCTGTGCTCACAACCGTGAGTTCAGGTGTGAGCTGCAGCATGGGAACCCAGCACACCCTGGGTCTCCTCGCTGTGACCTATGACACCCGGGGTCCCGGTGTGCTCTGCGCTGCATCCCCCTGCTCTGACAGTCGATGAAGGACAAGGATTCTCGCCGCAGCCTGTTCATTGTGCTCTTTTTGAGCTGTGACGGCTGCTCCCAGACATGTTTGTGTCTGCTGAGCGGGGAGGCTGGTGGCTCAGGCTGCTGGGACTGGATTTTAAAACACCGAAGCCCTTTCAGAAGGGACTGAAATCAAAGCTGAGCAAAGCAGCACTGAGGAGCAGAGCTTGTCTGGAACCCCCGCTGTCGTGTCTCTGCAGCCCGGGCTCCTCTTGCCACTGCTCCAGCTCCTGTTCTGCCATGCCTCCCAGCACCGGCCAATAAATCATTGCATTTCGAAATAACTCTTGTTTGCCTTTGCTAGGACAGAGGTGGCGGAGGGAATCTTGGAGCCACAGGAATCCCTGAAGTTAAACTTTAACCAGGCGTGTGTCCAGAGTCCGCTGCTTTTTTTTTCCGTTCTCTGCTGCCTCGCAGGTCAGTGTCCCCCCAGGGCTCCTGGGGGTTCCTGCACACTTGTGCACCTTGTGCCCAAAGAACCATCCCGGGGCTGTGTCCAAACATCCCGGGGCTCTGTCCAAACATCCCTGGGCTGTGTCCTGCCCCAGACCTGGCATGTCCTGCCCCTCAGCTGTCCCAAGCAGGGGGGCAGCCGCAGCCGGGGGAGGTTTGGGAGCGGGGACAGGGCTCAGAGCAGCTGGTTGTGGCCAAGAGGAGAACTGGAGTTGGAAAAGGCTGCGACTGTGGTCAGCTCTGCCGATTAACCTCGCTTGGGTTTTTGCTGTTTCCTGGGTCACTTGGTGACAGCAGTGACACTGTTGCTGCTGTAGGACCCTCTGTCACAGAACTTTAGCGCCGGGCTGCTGGTGGTTTTCAGAGGGCGAACTCACCCGCGTGGCGTCTGTGAGATGCTGTGACATGCTGGAACGGGTGAACGCAGTCGCTTTCTGATCAGAAGCCCAGATTGTGGCTGTGCACGAGCGGGTGGTTTGTGCTCTGGCTCCGCTCCTGCTGTACCGCTGCGGTGGCATTGCGGCGTTTGTCAGGCTGTGACGTGCTCTGGGATGGTCTCACCAGGCTGGCGTCACCTCTGTTGAGCAGGTTGAGATGGTTTTCTTCGTCTGCGATCTGCTTGAATTGCTGGTTGGGAAATGTTTGCTGTTACTCTTGCTTTTAGGCCACTGTTGGAGTATTTCAAATGTATTTTTGTTCCTTAAAGGTGGCAACATCCTTCATAGTTTGCAAACGTTTGTCCCGTGTGTCACCTTATGAACAATCCCCGAGGTGATCTTCCCAAAGCTTTTGCATTAACTGTTGATTTTTGCTCATTTTGCTGTTGATGCTGATGAGCGATTCCCAGTTTTTCTGTTTCCAGCCCCTTCTCAAAGGTGTGCACCCCTGGCTTTTATTGCTCTTGCATTTTTGATTATTAGCTGGCACACCACACAACACCAACATTTCTCTCTCCTCCTGCAAGCCCTGGTGTTGCTCTCCTTTTGTGATTCATGCATTTCCCTTGGTTTTGAGGCTTTGAGCGCTGGCAGTCGTACAAACTGCTGCGGCTGTGCACGGGCAGAGTTGAGCAGATTCTCAGCAGACACTCAGAGCTGTCAAGTCACGCAGGAAACCTTTCCCTAATTCTCTTTGTTGTGACCTGGAGTTTTTATGGATTCCTTTCCCAACAGCATCCTTGCCAAACGGCATGGCTCAAAGGCATTCCATCCCAGTACCGGGGCTGCTGGTGTTATTACACAGAAGTTTCATTCTGTTTGGTTTTAGTTTTGGGTTTATTTTTTGTGTGGTTACATGTAACGTGTCCTGGTTGCCTGCTGAGGATCCCTGCCATATCCATGCTTATCTCACCAGTCCATAGTCCACCCAGGACCTGCCCCAGAGATTTAATATTAACCGCGGTGGTCCTGGCTTTCGCTGAGCCACAGTAACATCATGTTTCACTTGGTGGTCCCTCCTCCCAAGGGCAGTTGAGCAGGCAGCAGTTTTCTTTATTTGCTTGAAGACAGTAATTTCCAAGCCTTGATGGTTTGCCCCCGTTGCCTCTCAAAACCTTGGAAACCAGCAGGCGAGAGAGCCTCCATCTCTCCCCCAGAAATAAACCCAATTCCTTTGATGCCTTCACTTGGCATCCAGGCTTCTGCCGCTGACGCTGGGGGTTGGCAGCTTCTTCCTTAAACCAAGAGATGGTGTAAATCCCCTGGCAGTGTTCTGGGAGGATCTGGGTTCACGGCCGCCCGTGTCGGTCCTGCTGGGGGGCAGGTCAGTGGGGGGTTAAGTGACCCCCCAGCCTGCCGCCATCCCAGCCAGCTGAGACGCTGGGTGCTCCACGGTGACCTTCTGCCCCAGGGGCCAGGCTGGGTCTGGATTCCACCTTGGTGCCTAAATCTAGCTACGACGATTTTAATTTCAAATGTGGGAGTGTGGAAATGGGAATTTGGATTTTTTAAAGTAGTAAAATGTGCTACAGCTAACGCGTGCGTACGTAACGGAGCTGTTGACTGTGTTATCTTACCTGCTCAGCATCCCTCAGCTCTCCAGGGTGGCGGGGCCACTGTGATGGGTACTGTACCCAGAGAAAATCGATTTTTGGAGTGAGATATTCTCGGTGGAATTGTTGATCAGAATATATGGGAATATCCAGAGGGCAGATTAAATCACGACACTTGTCTGTGTGGGAAAATTTACTGATCTGAATTGCTCTGCTGTTACTCTGCTGTTACTCTGCTGTTACTGTGCCAGCACTTCCCCTCCCTCAGATGCTCTCCTGGCATCGGGATTCCACAACGGAGCTGCGTGGGTGTCACTGGGGTGCCATTTCCTGGTGCAGATGATCCCTGCACGTGAACCCCAGAATGGAGCCCCGTACCCAGGTTAGCTGGGTGTTGCACGCGGTGTGCCCTTCTTCTGTCGGAGGAAGATAAAGTCTCGTTCTGCTCCGTTTTCTATGAATTCAGAGCAGCGTTTGGCTTCCTGGAAAGCCAGCCTACAACCAGGCAGCCTGGGCAGATGCAGCTGCGGAGGGCACGGTGTGGCGGGCAGGCACGCTGCAAAGCACTCGGCTGCTGCTCCGTGAGATAAATCACCACCCACATGAAGCTGGCTGCTTCAGCTGGCAGGGGATGCTGGCTTCAGCTCCTCTTTCTGCTTCCTGTTCCCTGCAATCCTGTGTCTGGCCCTTCCCCATTGTGCAAACTGGTAATTCCACCTCGGTTTGTCTCCTGCACCGGGGAGCAGCTGCCCTCCTGGAAACCTCTCGGCCAGCCCAGCTGCTGTTTGGTGCTCGGAGGGATGCTGACCTGGGTCTGAGGGGGTGCTGGAGCCGGTGACGGGGTGCTGGAGCCGGTCAGGCTCTGAACGACCCTGTTCAGGCGGCTCCATAATGGTTTGATTCTTTAAGGGCCTCATCCTGCTGGGTGCTGGATGCTGGTGGTTGGGAAATGGCCGGAGCAGGAGTGGTACGGTAGTGGCAGGGCTGGGACAGCAAATGACTCAGCTGCTCCCGCTGTGTTTCCGTGTTGGTTTTAGCCCTAAAATGAATGAAGCGAGGGTGGGGGGAGGCAGGGCAAGGAGGGGCACCCGCAGGCAGGAATTCCTCCGCCTTGGGTGAGTCAGCCGGGCGCCAGCCTGGTCTCTGCTCAGCGAATTTGCAGAGCGGGGGAACCCCTGTGCAGGTGTTCAGCCCTTGCACCCCATCTGCAGACCCGCTGAGGGTCTCGGGGGGAGTGTGAAGGGGGGAGCAGAGCCCCGGGGGTGCAGATGTCCTCTGGCCAGCCCAGCTCTCACCCCGGGCTGGGTTGTGCTGTGGCACAAGGGCGGCTGTGCAGCCCCTTAATTCACAGCAAACCCAAACTGAGTCTGGCCATGGTCATCTCTAACGCCTGGTGCCACCTCCCTCCACTGCTCCCAATGCTCGGTGGGTTAATGACTTGGGCTTTATAGGAGGGAAGGAATTTTCCCTGCCCAGCCCTCTCCAGTTCCTCCTGGTTCAGGTTTTACCGGCTTTGCAGGTTTTCTGCAAACAGCCCGTGTCCTTGTGCAGGCTGAGGGGGGAGGAGAAGTTGGGTCCTGCTCACCTGCAGTGGGGGTGGGAAGGGATGGGGCTGAGATTTTGGGTCTCGCCCAAAAGCGGGATGAACTGAACCGGCTGAGTTCTGTTCAGTGGTGATTCGGGCCAGGGCATCTGGCAGCAGCATCTTCTCTGACTGCAGGACAGGCTGAGAGAGTTGGGGGTGTGCAGCCTGGAGAAGGGAAGGCTCCAGGGAGACCTTCCAGCAGCTTCCAGTGCTGAAAGGGGGCTACAGGAGAGATGGGGGGCTCTG